GCTGCAAATTGTACTGCTGGGAATGCCTATTGCTTGCAACTGACCGATTTGGTGTTTGGAGCCACACTGGATTGTTTTACTAAGGCAGCAAGGAAACGGCTGGGCACTTACAAGCTACGGTGCGTTTAAAAACGTTTGGGGACACTCGCGTAGATGTGCACCTCAGTGAACAGGCACGACATCGGTGAGTAAATGCATTTTATTTTACATTTCTTCTTGTCATTTTATTTCGTTAGTATTAAATTCATGGTAACGAAATAAAATGAAAGATACAAACATGTATCAAATAAATCTGCTCACCTGCAATTTATAATGGCGCATTGTAGTCACCTTCGTGCACGAAAGTTCGTTCAATCTCAGCTGTTAGTCAGTTATTAGTTAGTCAGTTATGCCAGTTATTTGCTGTTGTATTATCGATTTTCAAAATGCAAATGATCTGTTTACTTTATTTTCAAAGAACAGTTTTTTTGTTATTGTTTGGTTGGTGTCTTATATGAAACTGCGACATTGCACAATTTATTGGACAGACTTGTTTAAGATCACACAGCGTAATTTGGGTGGCATTTTATTTCGTATTTTTAAATCATCTTTTTATTTTTGACTATCTGTAAATGTAGTTTCCTGCTCTGAATTGTGAATGCATACTTGATCGTTTTAAATGCTCCTGAAATTAAGTGCTGCTTGACGAGCCTATACAGTATTGTGTTCATAATATGTGACGTCACTGAAGGCCCAAGTTTGAAATGCACGGCCCGCCACTGACAAGACACTTGCAAGAACAGTCAAAATCCAGTAAAACGGCTGCGACTGAGGCGTTTGCTCCAGTGAAAATAGCTAAATAAAATATAAAATGTCAAATGGTTGTAATATCTGCATGGTAAAATGCACCACATTTTCAGACACATTTGCACTAGGAAAGGAAATTATGGTTTTAGGAGGGACTTTCAATGGTTCCTTCCACAGTGCAGCCTCGGCGTTAAGACTGCAATTGCAGTGAAAAATGGCACTCAACCTCATTTCCCATGATGCCTGAGGTTTAAAATGAGGTGGAGTTGGCCACTCCCAACTTGTACATTCAGGAAATATTCCACCAAGGACACACCGAGAGCCTGTCACCTCTCAGCGAGAATCCAATGACCAGACCTCAGTGAGAATACACTCATTGAGAACTAGAAACATGAGTGATGCAAGACAAACGTGTGCACCATTTGGCCATTAAGCAACAGGACGGCGTTTAATACGAGGCTTATGTGTAGAGTAACAACCCAATCCAACCCACTGAGCGACTCATCGTTTATGCTGACATCTGTCTGCGATGACACACGACTGCAGCTTTCTCCGGCAACCCTTCACACGTAGTGACAAATAACTCACCCGCTGAGAGGATGTACATCGTAGGAGTGGCTGCTAGAGGTGTCGGTGGTAATGCAAAGTACAACTTGGACTGGTCTCCCACTACCAGTGCAGATTGCACCACTACGAGGGCTGCCAAGATTGGTCGACTAGTCTCATGGCTCACTGTGAGCACCAGAAGCCTTAAGTTGGGGCACATTCCACCAAAAGTACTTCACGGAATGCAAACCTGGCTTTCATGGCAGAAATGAAAAGCTAAAGAAAGGTCTTCTTAAGTACCACTCCGGTTTCTAATTTTATCTTCTCTATAAAAAAATGCTTTTTGGCAGAGAAGAGTGAAGTAGGTGACCAAGTATTTCTTTTTGCATTGATACAGAGTATCATAGCATTCATGTTGCATCTATGGATAGTGAATAGTTTGCATTTAAAAATGTATTCAACATTTGCAACTAAAAATGTTAAGGCCACATGATTGCCTTCAATTGAAGTTGCAACATCATTTATAAACATGTCAGGAATGCCTGTGCAAGCTGCAAAGTGTAATCAAAGTTGAATGTATGTACTATCATCTCAATTGTGTTCATTTGAATTTCCACCTACTTGACATAAATCAAGCTGTCAGCTAGTAGTGGTTATACAAAAGCAGTATTCTGCTGGTGCAATATGATGTGCTTGACATGATGCGATTAATCGACAAATATATGACTAGCCGACGAGCAAAACATTCCTTTGTGGCTGCCCTCCTAGCTGCACAGACATATTGCTCAACGGGCATCTCACCAGCACTTGATATTTTGACCTGTAGGTCTTTGGACCACAAGGATTTTTTGACACCAAGGGGTTCTCAAACCATGTCCCCAAAATCAAATACTTTCAGACTGCCAGTGGTGAAAGGCCCGACTGGGAATTAAGCCACAGATCAGCGTAAAATCAAGATGGCCCAAGACTGCATCCATCCATTTCCTCCCACTTATTCTCCTCAGGCATGTAGGGGTCTATCCCAGCTGACTTTGAGTGAGAGGCGAAGTACACCCTGGACTGGTCCATAACCAAGACTTCACACATCCATTTACTAATTCTGATCGTGTTTTATGGCTAAAAAGAGCCTATCCAAGCTGGCTCTTGGCATGAGGCGAACTTCACCGTGCACTGGTCGCCAGTCCGCAGCCAAGATATCCATTTGCATTAGACGTTCATGCGACCTTTTGTAACCGAATAACTCACCCTGGGACAGCGTGTAGTAGGCGTGGATGCTGGAGGTGTTGGTGGTGATGCTGATCTCCTCGTCGCTGAGGGAGCTCTCTATGTCCACTGTAAGAGCGCTGTAGATGTCTGTGTAAAGGTTGTTCACCATGCCGGTGGGAAAGGTCACGTTCATAAGGCGACCCTCGCTGTCGTAGCTGGTTTGGAGGACAAAATATAGCGGATGTTTTATTATACAGTCTCTCTATACATCTCTGTTCAGAGCAGAGTGTGTTGTCTAATCCAAATGTAAATGAGACACTGTCAAGAAATCCCGGGAAACAGCGACAAAAAAAAAAAATCACAACAAGCTGTGTTTACAGTATACTATCATAAAAATCTGCTTTAAGCCTGACTCTGTCTTGAAACGCCTAACCTTGACAGAAGAGCCTATTTTGAAACGCGAACCTGAACTTCAAACTTAAACTTGATACCCTGGAAAGCCTTGTTTGTTTGAGAGTGCAAGAGGTTTGTGTCAAGCAAAAGTTAGTTTGCTTTTTTTTGTGGTGCTGATTCAATGTGCGATAAAGTTTTTCGGAATATTAAACTTCCCCGGTTCTGTGCCGCCATGGGAAACTTGTACATCACAAGGCCATGCGCTCGGCTGCAACTTGATTTTCCATCTGAAAGCGAAAAAATACTGCCACACGATCGACAGTGCATCCCTATTCTTGAAACTTTGTTCGCAGCTTAGCAGACGTGGGTGTGGCATGTAGAATCTGGGCGTTGATGAATGGAATTGCTGGAGTGGACCTTATAATAAAGTGCTTGTATCGGTGTGCTTATATTAGAGATTTCAGATGCAGTCCGATATAATAATATAATATGATATCAGATCAAGACACCCCTAACCTTAAACCTTTCTCAAAAAGCCTAACCCTGACTTGAACATCCTTACCCTGGGCAGAAACCGAACTTCGAAACCCTACCTCTGATTATACCGCTATTTTGAAACAATTGGCCTGTCTTGAAAGCCATAACCACGACTGAAAATCCTACTTTGAAACCCTAGCCCTGACTTGATACCCTATTTTGCAATCATAAGCCTGGCTTTAAAACCTAACTTGAAAATACAATGAAATCCAAAACTGGACTCAAAACCCTTATTTGACACACACTGATTCAAAGTGAACATTTCCTGCAGGCAGCTCCCATACTTACTCGTAGAATGTGGTCCATCCAATCTCTGAAGTCTTGGTGGCCAACAGGCCATTGTTGCCATGATAGGTGAGCAGTACCAACTCCTGTCCCTGCGCCGTGAGAGTTCTGAGCCCGCCGTTGGTGCCCATCGTAAGCCAGATCACCTGGTTGTCCGGGGCCACAATGCGCACCGGAGTACGGCTGGAGTCTCGGCGTATCCTCAGCGTGTTTCCGTTACTGTCCGTCACCGCCGTGATGTCATTCTCCGTGCTGTAGCTGAAGGTGTACTTGAAGTCTCCGGTGAGCAAGCTGGCCGTGTGCTGGTGCGTGCCATTACCGTCGAACACGTACAGCTCCTGGGCGTCCGGCGACGCCACCTCGTAGCCATTGGACACCGGCGCAGGCCCGTTGCGAGACACAGCCCGGATGCGGATATTACCCAGATCGGCCACGTAGAGCGTCCCGTCCGGCGCGACCACCAAGGAGGACGGCGCATTGAGTCTGGCGTCTTTGGCATAACCATCGCCGGCCTGGTAGCAGTCGCAGTTGGCGTCGTTCTTGCAGTCGCATTCGGAGGGCACCCCGGCCAAGTGCGTGATCTCACCATCCAAGGAGACCTTGCGGATACGGCTAAGTTTCCTCTCGTCTGTCTCGGCGATGTAGATGGCGCCGTTGTAGGAGATGGCGATGGACGCGGCCGACTCCAAGGGGGTGAGCTGTGCCCGTAGGCCACCGGACCGAATGCCGCGCTCGGGTACGGAGAGCGGGCAGTGGACGGGGCGTCCCGCCGCAATGCTGACAAGGCCGTTGTCGGTGATGCGCAGCACAATATTGTTGTCCAGCACATAGAGCGAATTATCCATCGGGCTCATCGCCAGGTCTGTGGGCCACTCCAGAATAACCTGATGTGCACACATAAAAATAATGGAAATGGTCTTAAAGTTAAATCATTAAAAAAATATGATGAAAATGGTCATTATTCTTTTGAGTGTTTAATTTTTTTTTACAGTAATTTAACTTTTTAAATATATTTGAATTTCATAAATTTTAGTGTTTATATCATTATTATTTAATTTTTATGTAAAAGGGAGGAAAAAAAAATCACATTTCTCATGTTTTATATTTCAAGGGTGGAAAGACACCAATAGATTTTCAACTAAAGTGCTGCATCAACTGTTTCTGCAAAGATAAAATAGGCCAATCAAATGAAAGTCAAACAAAATAATGGTAACTATGTAATTGTTAGCAGCACTGTTTCAAAAATATTCAAGAGATCATCATAATATTCAGCATATTACGAAACAAGACCAACAATCACAATCAACGTGTCAAAATGATTGGCCTGGCCTTCAAAATGTGTCATTAAAGCTATCGGCGTGCTGATGAAATGTGTTTGATGATTAATCAAAACAATGATAACACATAAGTGAGAGTCAAGCCAATTTTTTTCCTCTTGGATGCATGACAAGCTTACGTTATGGCATTATTGGCTCACTGCAAATGACTTTTCATTAATTGGCAGAGCGCGATCAGCTCCACTTTTGTCTCACGCCGCTTTTAGAGCGCCCACGCGAGTGTGAAGATTGCCTTTTCCTCATTCGTCATTAAAGTGTCGCACGCAGCCAGTAAACAACCTCTTGCTCCAGTTTCTATTCATGTGCCTCTGTTGACACTTCTGCTGTCAGCGTTGTTTGGTTTTGAGGCTTTGGACTGCTTTGTTTGCCAGTGCTGCACTGAAATGTGACTTTTTTTTTATTCTTGATACCCATATTTCATGCACATGGGTGATGTCAATTTGCCAAATCACGTGTCTTGACACAAATAACTAATCTATAAACAAATGGCAATAAGAGGGGTCAACTAGGCCTCGTGGGTCAACACCCCAATTGGCTCGGATGGAAGCAGACTGTATGCTTCAAACAATCCTGCAGCAAAATTTGCATTTTTTTTCTCAGCATCCATTTTTTGTGGACATTGGAGACATCCTTTTTACAAAATAATTCATTCAAATAAATGCTCCAATACATCCAGACTGTAAGGACAAACTCCAACCAGACATGCACCAAGCTCTTAAGCTCTTGTGTTTTTTTTTTCCCCTCAGCATCCATTTTTTTGTGGACATGTGAGACGTACTTTTTGCTAAATAATTCGTCCAAACAAACGCTCTGATGCAAGCAGACTGTCAGGACAAACACCAACCAGACCTGCACCCAAATCCCTTTTTTTCCCCCCATTTTTCTCAGAAATGGGTTATTTCATTTTCGCAAAATCATGCATATTAACTAAGTAACCCCCCCAACCCTCCCAAAAATGCAATAAAGATACAGTATAACCATACACCATTCCTACATAACAGAGTGTAAAAATAAAATAAATTGAGACTGCAGTTTTCCCTCCTCAGCAGTCCATCCACTTTTGAACCAACAGGCGACAAGCAACAATCATCTGAAAAACAATGTACACATTTTTGGACCACAAGGCAAGCAGCTGTCACTGTGAAATCCTCCAGCCAAACTTGCACCACCATTTTCTTTTCATGGCACCCATTTTTTTAATGTAACTTTTGCTACAATTTGCATATAAAATAAATAACGGATTAAGAAACCAAGGGCAATAAAACAAAAAATAAATAATTCTACATCATTTGCACACAGCAAATATCAAGAAAAAGAGGAAAATAGAAACTTCAAGTTTCACGCTCAACCACTTTAGAATCACTTTCTGCAGGTCAGGCCTAAAAGAGGGCCGATGAATGCGTTCATTTCAATGCGCTGAAATCCTTTCCCGCCTTTTTATATTTCCTGCAATCGTCATCTGAAAAGCGATGAAAAAAAATATGCTGCACTGCTTCAGCAGAAGGTATTGTAATGATATGACCAATTGTGCTGAGCTCGCGGGGCCACTTCAGAATCATCTTATTGAAAAAAAGTGTCTTTTTTTTCTCCATTTTTCGCTTACTAGGGCTGCTTCATTACAATGGATGCTCCATCTAGACTGAGCTCTAATTCTACTGCATTTCACATCAAAACCAAGCCCTACCTGAATAATTAGTCTTCCCGGAGTACCATTTGCTGTGACTGAGAAGCTCAGGGCCACAACAAACACTTAACGGCACATATTTTCCGCCGGCCACATTTTTTCTTTCCTTCGGGAAAATGAGGAGCCAAGCTCCTCGCTCCAAGTGGTTGATAATTGAGTTCTCTTGTTGTACTCACTAATAATATGGCTGCACACAGAAATGCACTTTTACGCTATTATTCATTCATCTATAATTCAGGATAATTTAAAATCTCTCCCAAAATAAAATAGCTGCAATATGTTGAGTACAGCAATCAAAATTGATGATATATAATATATTCTTTTATTCCAGGATACGAGCGGCTGAAATGAGTTTTCTCCGCAGGGTCTTCGGGCTCTCCTTTAGAGATAAGGTAAGAAACTCGGTCATCTGGGAGGGGCTCAGAGTTGAGCCGCTTCTCCTCCACGTCGAGGAGCCAGATGAGGTGGCCTGATTACGATGCTTCCTGGACGCCTCCCTGGTGAGGTGTTCCGGGCATGTCCCACCGGCGGCAGGACGTGCCGAGGACGACCCAGGACACGCTGGAGAAACTACGTCTCCCAGCTATTCCGCGGGAAGAGCTGGAACAAGTGGCTGGGGAGAGGGAAGTCTGGGCTTCCCTGCTAAAGCTGTTGCCCCTGCGACCCGACCCCGGATAAGCGGTTGATTTTGCATTGTATGTTCATGTCATCTTTAAAGAAATAACATATAATTATAATAACAGTGTACCGGTATTTAAAATGCTTGTCATAAATTGTGCCCCCTCTGTGTGCCATTGACTGTGTGCGCATGTGTTACAGTCACTGCATTAGTCACCTGATTGACGTCCATGCTGTTGTCACAGGTCAGCGGGCGCGCCGATGTCAAGTCGTTGGATCCCAGGAAGGTGGAAATGATGCCGTTTTGGTCCACCTTGCGGATGGTGGTGCCGTCCACGAAATAAATCAGGCCGTTCTTGTCAACGGCGATACCTGCAAGTCAGGTCAAGTACGTTGCGATAACAGGGTTGAAAGGCCACGGATCGGCCCGCACGAGTCAGTGGAGACGACGCGGCGGATTACATGTGTTGAGCTTGCCTCCCCATTATTCAGGTCACTGGCAAAAAGCACCGCCATCAATAATTCACTGGATGCTTTTCTGCCTTTAAATAATTTCTCAGGCAGAAGTGGCAAAAGCTGTAGTCATAGCGTTGCGTCCATACTGTATGTGCGCGTCAGCCCGGTGAAAAAGCACTCCCGTCGGGAAGGGGATTCTGAGTGCATTTGGTAGATTTTGTCTTGGGTGAAAGCCGTAAAATGGACCAAAGTCTGCTTCAGGTGTTATTTTTAGATCCTGAAAATATGCATATTTTTGTCTTCGAGTTGTAACATGCTATGCCATTTCATCTAAATATACAACTCATTCTGGACATTTCATCCATACAATCTGCTCAGGATATCACGGGACGGCCACGACTTTTTTCCAAATCCTAAAGATGCCAGCAGAGATTGTGTGAAGGCTAGGGTGCGAGCAGAGACAAGCGTTGTAACTCAACTTGTTACATCTCAGTCAAATTGGGACTTAAAATGAGACATGTTTGGTTTTGGTGTGAAGGACAGTAATAGTAGTCGGAGGTCAATTGATATTCAGTAGGTGACCTCCTTGGAATATTTTTGATCTTTTGTATTTCTTGGAACCTGCTGTGGTTGGCCATTGTTATGAGGGTGGAAGTCATAAAATGGATGCCCTCTGCTTAGGATTTCATGTTATATATGCATTTAGTGATTTTTACTTGCATGGCATGTGACAACTTCTCATACCTGCTGTGATGTATCGACAGTGGTTTTTGACACAGCACCTCTGAGAGGGATCACCATTTCTACAGCTTGAATTAAGTGTTTAAAAAAGCTTTTATAAGGCAAACGTGTTCGGCTGAACAAGTCCTTGGGCTAGTTTGTCGCCGTGTTTGACCGTGTGAGAGTCTCAGACTGATGAAGAGTGTCATGTCTGAGCAGAGTTCATCAAAATGTCTCAGAGAAAGATGGAGGGTGGGTGAAAGCGCACACAGGAAAAAAAGAGAAAAAAAAAGCTAACTGCTGTTAGTTACGCGGTCTGGACTTCCACCCACTCCATCATTACAGACTTTCTTGCCCGGGCTGAAAGGATCACATCGAGCACAGTTGGCATTGGGAGCCAGCGGTGGCGGTGACAGCAAAAACAGTCTTTGTGTTTGGGCTTTTCATCTTGGGGAAATTTATCGAAAATTGAACGATCATTGCGCAAGTGGCACAAATGGAACATCTCAGACAACAGCTTAGTGAGAACTTCATGGACAAGGTTTGTTAAAAACATAAAAAAAAAAAAAAAAAAAAAAAAAAGATCTCCGGCAGTGCTCAAGATCTTAAAAAGCAAAGCAGCATATTGTTTGCACTGTGATGTGCTGTTGTTGGTACTTTTTAATTTGTGGTCTTGGGTGAAGACTACAGTCCAGTAGATAATTTCTTGTTTCCTAAAGTCCCCTGACAAAGTAATAAAACATTAAGACAAACCGCATTTTTCCGCTGTACATGTAACATTTTAATTTATATTGAATTCATTGAAAATCGATATTATAATGGACTCTCAACACTTTGAAAAGTGATATTACTTTTTTTAAATATTAATATGGATTAGAATGTTTTTATTGAACTATAATAATAATAATAATAATAATAATAATAATAATAATTATTATTATTATTATGACAGTATTATATTACAGTAATAACAAAAGTCCTGCAAAAATTTTGATTGGGCCGGCTGACACCTTTATTTGTGAAGGATTGATTGCAATGTTGGGAATACCTTGTAGAACAATTTTAAACTTTTTTTTTACCACCAAAAAAGAGAACTTCTTTCAGTGCTCCAATTTTGAACATATTTGCTAAGGTTCGAATAATTCTTAGGCTAACATAAAGCAAGACAGCAACCTCAGTGTAGAAAGTGCTGAGCCAGAGTGATTTTACATTGTGTCCTGTCTGTGCTCAGGTGCTTTTTTCTCCCAAAATGTAATAGCTCAAATGCTAACCCGCTAACTGTTGCTTTGCTAACATAATTGCAAGATGTCAATCCGACTAAAGAAAGCATGAAGGATCCTTTTGTAACTACTTGGTAGAAGCAGCCTTTAGCCTGTAGTTACCGTATTTTCCGCATCATAAAGCGCATCTAAAAGCATTGAATTTTCTCAAAAGCCGACAGTGTGCCTCATAATCCAATGCGCCTTATGTATGGATCAATATTCTGATTTCTTCAACGTAGTATTTTAAATGTTCTGAAAAGCAATTGTTACAGCTGCAGCGGTTGTGAAAGCTCTATATAAATAAAGCTGTATTGTATTGTATTCCCTTTTGCGTAGCATCACCTGTTGGATACATACATAGCGCAACCACAGCCACTATTGTAGCTTTTATTTGCCTGATAATGCGGTGCGCCCTATACCTGTATATGAAAACAGTTTCAAAATAGGCCATTCATTGAAGGTGCGCCTTATACTCCAAAGCGCCTTATAGTGCGGAAAATACGGTAATTAACGTGAGACACATGCGGCATGCAAATGCCATTTGTGGTGTAAAAAATACTGGGTTACGATACCCTTGGGTCCAGTGAGTGAAGCATCTGGAGCTTTGCCGCCGTCCCCGCAGTGGTTCTCATCAAAGGGCAAGCAGTGTTCCCCGGTCCCAGCCACCACCTCGGCGTTGGCTTGCAGGTCCTTCGTTCCGGAGAGGCTTTTTGGCTGGTAGATCCGCCGCGAGTTGGTGTCCGACACATACAACTGGCCTGTGACCGGGTCGGTGGCCAGATAGTAGCGGTGTGCTGGGTTGTTGCTGCATTCATGAGAAGGACAGATTCTTATAATCATTCATTCAGTCATTCATTCATTTTCCGTTCCGCTTTATCCTCGCAATGGTCGCTGGGGGTGCTGGAGCGGGGGACACCCTGAACCGGTTGCCAGCCAATCGCAGGGCACACAGAGACAAACAACCATCCACGCTCACACTCACACCTGAGGACAATTTAGAGTGTGCAATCAGCCTGTCATGCATGGTTTTGGAATGTGGGAAGAAACCGGAGTACCCGGACAAAACCGAGGCAGGCCCGCGGAGAACATGCAAACTCCAAACGGGACGGCCAGAGCCGGGATCGAACCCACGACCTCTGCACTGTGAGGTCAACGCGCTAACCACTGGCTCACCAGGCCGCTTCAGTGGTGCCTCGATTTACAAATTTAATTGGTTTTGTGAACAAGCTCGAAACACCAAACTTAAATCATCCCCATGAAAATTCCATGGATCCATTGAAGCTCAAAAACACGCAACAACATTTTAAATATTTTTGTGATTAAAAAAAAAAACAACACTCTACAGCATTGTACTTAATGAAAAACACAATTTTAACAATTAAATTGAATGTAAAGATTTATAAACAGCATGTAACACCTGTTGTCTGTGTTTGCAAGTGCATCTTTGTTTTATTTTTAAAGTCTGCTTCCACCATTAACTTTTTACTTGCAACTCAAAACAAAAACAATCCGCCGAGCAAAAGCTCACACTACTGATATTGCGTGAGCCACAGGCCCGTATTTAAGTGACAGGTGAAGAGTGAGCCATGCACGTTTTCAGTGGATTCAAGGGACACGCCCACAGCATTGGTGTGTCAGATATTTAAGAAATGTTTTTGTTTTCACTTTACTTTGAGATTAAGGAAGGGTTTGGGCTCAGATTCAGGGGGTTTGAGTTGGTTTTGGAATTAGGGTTGTTGGTCCTACACGGTTGCCGCAAAAATAATGGACTTTCTGTGCAAAATTGGTTTGTTATAAAATTATATGTATTTTACATTATATTCATATAGTAGTAATAACAAATACGTCACCTTAATTTGATATTGTTAAGATGTTTTACGTAATTTTTACTTAATAGTATAACTGAGGAAATAAGTATATATATATATATACACACACACACACACACACACACACAAATACATACACACCGTATTTTCCGCACTAAAAGGCGCACTGGATTATGAGGCGCACCTTCAACGAATAGCCTATTTTGTAATTTTTTTCATATATTGGACGCACCGCACTATAAAATGCAATCTAAGATGCATCCATGGAGCTACGATCAAGGAAATGCCGCCACTCGAGTGAAGCGCGCCTCTGCAGTCCATAATCCGCTGCTCTCTGCTGTGCGCGCGTGAGCGCGAGCACGTACGCACGTGGTTCAACCAATCAGCGCCGATGCACAGATCAAAGAAGCTTTGAACCAACGACAACAGCTAAGATAGCTTAGCTGTTGAGCGGCGTTGCTACAGAACGATCAAATGTCCGTAAAACTAATTTGATAAAGCAGCGACACAGTTCACTTAACCAACAGCAAGTTATTACATTGACTCGTTCACATTGAACTCTCTTGCCGCTGCTCTATTTCCGTTTTCAACTGCGTAACCCGATCGACTTAAGTTTGAACTCTTCATTGTAAGCATTTCTCTAGCAAGGAGCCATTTTGGGGTCGACATATTACTGTACCGTAATAACCATACACAAGGCGCATCGGATTTTAAGGCGCGCTGTGAGCTTTTAAGAAAATGGAAGCCTTTTAGGTGCGCTTTTTAGTGCGGAAAATACGGTATATGCATTTGACTAATTGCCTTTATTTGGTGGAAAATAATTCAGTTACAATGTGCATTTGCAAGATTTTATAATATTAAATTATAGAATGGTTATTTAAGAAAACAAATTGATGTAATTGATTCTCACAATGATACCACGTTTTGAAAAAAAAAAGATGTATGTTTCTATTTTTATCTTTAATCTTTGCACAACTATTTCTACTACACGACTTCTGCGACTTTGTGCTTCTTCTCTCCAGCTGTAATTAATTTCTTTTTGCATTGGAAGCCACATTTTCTGGAGCATTTTCATCAGCCATTACAAACAGAACACCACTTTTTTTTGTTTTGTTTTTACTCTCTCCATCAGTGGTAATTAGACAGTAAATGGCCTGCTCTAATGATACATATGGTAATCAATGGGGGTACCGAAGGAACGGCAAAAAAGGGAGAGCTTTATTTATGTCAAGATGATGATAGGCAGCATGGTGGTATTGGGGGTAATGAGCATGCAATCAAGGATAACACACACCTACCTGTGTCTAAAGTCTTTATTTCTACAAAAAAACAAAAGGACACAAGGAATAGAGAAACAAAAGATCAGGAGATTTTCCATGAAAAAGACATTTTAAAACACTTTCCCCACAAATGAAAACTGTTTATAGGTGTAGTAAACTGTCTTTGGTACACTGTAAAAAAGGGACACACCAGGAGTTCAAATTTACTAAATTGAAGAAAGTTCCGTTCCTATCCAACGCAATCTATTCACCTTCATCTTGCAAACTTGATTTTATCACAATTCAAAATGTTTCTGAAAAAAATGTCGGACTTTTGCATTTGTATTGAAGCCCTTTATAAATATTTTTTTCATGAAAAAACACCCAAAACGTATTGATACGTTTTGGCACTACATGATAAGGTTTTTGCAAACGTAATTTTACGATTTGGCATTAAATGAGTTACATTATCAAGCCCATTCCTCCTTCATAGAAATGGACAGTAGCGCATTACATAGCAAAAGTCACTGCAAAGTCCCTTTTTTTTTTAAACCTATGTAGTTATACAATTAAAAAAAATGCAGTCTCCAATTTGTTTCTCACCTCGTTTACTCCATGATTACTTCTGCTGCCTGTCGAGGCAGCAAATAAGCAGGACTTAATTCTTCCAGTAGCAAATTGAGGAATTGTCCAATGCCAATTTTACACTTGACAACATTCATGATTTTTCAAATTGAAAATTATAACAGGCCTATCACTGCTGCATAAAGACTGGAGAGTTGTATTTTTTTGGGGAGCGTTTGATAGCAAAAGTCACAGCAAAGTCACTTGTTCTGTGTTAAATCTGAACTACTGCTGTAATTGCTCTAACTCTAGAAACACAACACCTCATTCATTCCTCCCAAGCTGTTGTAAAACTGCTCCTTCGAGATTGAATCCAATTGGGAAACTGTTATAAAAAGCCGGGAAAGCACCCCATTTACCATTTATATGCACGTTCTTTTCTCGCAGGTACTTTGTGAAATGCTCTTCAGGCGACTCCATTGGGCCTTTTCGACGGTAACCACATGATTTTTACATATAGCCATTTTACATGTCTGAATGAGGATGACGGCTCACGATGAACGCAGTCATCATCCTGCCAATTTGAGAGCAGCCAACTGTCCCTGACGCCAGCTCAGCCAAGTTGGCGCGAGATCTGCTAGCGACCAATTACGTGCCTGCGAAAGGATGTCCTTCCTAATTACAAGGACGGAGAGGCAACATATTTTTGTGGGTGGGCTTTTCTTTTGACCCTCAGCACAAACATACACTAGAGGTAAACAGAGTATATTAGGTATCAAGCAGTTGGTCAAGCTAGTGAGTGTATTTGTTTTGTATTCTTTTCTATTTTAGAAATGTGAAACTTGCAATTTTTTTTGCAATTTAGTTGAACTATTATTAATCTGTCTGTCGAGCAAGCAGAAATTCTAGTTTGCTCCCTTGCTAATTCACTGGACAGCTAACTCATTTGCCTGGCCATCTGTCTCTCTGAGGGCTTCTTACCTGAGCTCCATGATGCTGGTGACGTTGCCCGACGGATAGATGCGTCGGATGTAGTTGAAGTCGCCCACATAGAGACTGCCGTCGATGCCCCACGCCAAGGCCACGGGTGCCAACAGCTTGTTGCCTAGCGCCTGGCCGTTGCAGCTCGGGCACGAGATGCTCCGGCGACGGCCATTGCCCATGATGGTGGAAATGACGGGCGGCTGCAGCGAGATGAACTGGTTCTCGCCGCTGCCTTTGTAGAGAATGCCTGCAAAAAAACAGATGAGATGTGGAGGTCAGCCATTCTTTATGATCCACGATCAATAAAGCCCACAACTGATTCGGTAGGTTGAGATCTAGAAAGGTAAGAATAACTGTTTCGCCACATCAGTTTGTGAGAGTTAGATTCTTGTTGGCGGGGGTGCTTTCTTCCATTTTACAGGTATACATGGGGAGATGTTATAAAATTCGATACAGCTCACCTTGTTACATTGTGTGAGAGTCCCTAATTAAGTGTCCAGAGAAGCATACATACACATGCATAATGGTCAGCTCATGTCTCGGAGATTGCAAAAAAAAAAAAAAATTAATAACATGTCAAGGCAAGCACATGAGATGGACTGTTCCTTGACTTTGTTCGCAAACTTTGATGCTGTCATGATGGAAGCAGCGGTGGTGGTGGTGAGGGGGATCGCCGCACCCAATCTGTCAAGCCACACACAACAGGAAGTTTGTGAAGTGAGTCAAAGCGGCTGGCGAGACGAACGCGCTTGCTCGGAGCGCCACTCCTGCCAGCGCTAGGCCGCTTTTATCCCGCCATCCGTCTGCAAACAAGGCATCACACTTGTGCAGTGTAGCGCCTGTGATCAACAGATAGACACCGTACGTGTGATATGCTAATGAAGCCCCCCTAGTTCCCCTCACTGCTACACGTCAGAATTTAACGTTAAAGTGGATGTCGCAGCATGCGTGTGTGATGGCATACTTGAGACTACTTGAGACTGAATGTAAAGAACATCATGAAGCATATGGCAGCTGTTATTCTGTTCTGTGTTTTCACACCGACTGCTATCATCCATCCACATAATCACTTGGACTTTCTTTCCTTGTTGTCATCATAGGAGAGGAGCACTTGTGAACTGGGAAATGTTGGCAACACAGAATTCATATTTGACATGTAGACTAATCAATGAGTGAAGACTGACGGAACATATCTGTAATGACACACAAAAAGACTTACCAGTGACAGAACTTTGACGGAAGCCAATTGTATGGTGCTGTATATCATGATTTACATGTACTTTCTAGACTGATCAATAACAGAGTGAAAACTATGACAGAGCGGCCCAATCAGTGGTGCTGTATACTGTATATTGATTGGCATACAGACTTACCAATGATAAAGTGACAAGTATGGCAGTGAGCTGAAAACCACTGATTCCGCTTGTAGTGACTGAAATATAGTTTGCCGAGTGACTGACAGAACCAACATGTCGACTGATCAGTGACTTGGGTGACGCGCCACTGCATTCCTTGGTGAGTTTACATTTCAGTCATTCGGCACATTACAAAGACAGTATGGTGCAGTTGTGCCTCGAAATAACAGTTTAATTTGTTCTGTGACGTCGCGCTAATGCAGAATGCAGAACTGACTGTATATCTCAAACCACTTCATTGAAATGAATACAAAAGCCATGAATCCGTTCCAGTCTCTCCAAAAGACCCAACATATAACATTTCTGTAATGTTGGTTTTAACAAGGAAAATAGCATTTTATGATGTTGTACTCATACAAAATACATACGGCAGTAATAACATCCTTAAAAATGCTGTGCATCCTGTTGAATTCATCGCCACTCCCAGTCATGAAGACACAAAGACTACCGATAATGCATACACCACAGTATATGCCGGCCAGTATTGTTATGTTGTCTGTCTACATATGCTGATGCACCAGTTGTGTTCAAATATCCTTTTCTTAAAGCATGTCTTAAACTCAAGGCCCACAGGCCAAATGTGGTTCAACATGTCATTTAATGCTCCGTGCGAGAGCTTAAAAAGCCTGATAATCTTTTAATAATTTAGTCTAAAGCGTGCATGAACCATAAATTACACTTCCCACAATTCATAGCGACTACATTGCCTGCCAAGTGACAGCATCCCGGCACTACATTGCAGTCCAGTTTCCATTCTAATTTCACAACAAATGGAACTGTTGTTCCCATAATGCCCAGGAAGAGTAAAATTGGTGCAGTTGGAAGGCAAATTCTGTGCATGTTTGAGCTTCAAGAAGAAAAACCAGGATATCTTCAGCGTTACAAGGTGGTGACAGTTGTCAAAGAGTACAGTCAACGTCGGCATTTTGACCCCCAACAGTGAGCTAAGTAAGCCTTTAAGAAAAACACAATCAAAAAACAATGCATTTTTTGAAGAGGCTGCGTGAAGCAGTGCATGGTGAAGGTCTGCGAGTGTGAGCAAGCATGTCATATACACCCGGGAAGGCCAGAGCCCAGATTTGAACCCCGAATCTCTGTACTGCGAGGCAGGCGTGCTAACCAGTCGTCCACCATACCACCCTAAATGCATACAGTATGTAATATTTCTAACTTGAATAAGTAAGACAGTCTGATTTACTTGACCTAGAGCAGTAGTTAAATTTAGTTGACATTGCTTTTGGTTACATTCATACTGTTTAGAGTTGCACCTGACCCTTTGAGAGCATCAATTATGACGTGATCATAAGTGAAAATTAGTTTGACACCCCTGACTTTAAGTAATAACGCCGCGATCAGAAATGCTACTCATTAGCGGCTAGCCCGTCCATACTGTATGTACTGTAACTGATGGTAACATTCAAATTGGAAGGGCATTAAACAGCTTGAAAGCTCTTTTTTGAAAATTGTTCTCTCCCTGCCAAACAGCTGCCTATTGTGAATTGCATTGAGTTCAATGCCACCACACAGCGTTCCTATCTGCAATTTTTGTTTATGAGTCAAAGCAAGAAAAAATAAATGGCTGAACGACGGCTTTTATTTCAAAACGTGTAAATCGGGTTATTTGTTGCACAAGGAAAACTATTAGACAGCGTTTGTTTTTGCCTCATGATTGCGCTAAAGAGAACTGAGTCACAGTGTAGTTATACAGACTGAAATCCTTGGCAGAGGATATGTGGTCAGTTAGCAGACAGCTCAGAGTTCAGCTGTGAATTGTTTTGGCCCGCTGCCGCTTGTTTGTTTGTTTGTTTAAAGCAGAACGTGTGCATCTATCATATGTCTTTGCCCTCAGTCATATTAATATTTATCCACGGTGTCGCCTGACTTTTTTTCTCAATCCCTCACTGAATTATTCAGTCCTGCTTTTCTACTTTTTGACATTTGAGATTTATGGCCCACGTGGGGTTTTCCCTTTTCTTTATGGGAGGGGGAGGCAGTGGGGTCACGGTTCGATATCCCTCCCATCTTAACCGGCACGAAGATGAATCCAAATATTAGTGATTGCCTCCATGGCCGCCTCCGTATCGATCCCTTAACGTTGTAAACTTTGACTAATGTCTTCACCCCCTGACATGCTCTGCAGATGCATTTTCGATTCCTCCCCGTTGTGAATCATTCTTCATTTCTGTGCTCCTTCAAACATCTGCACATATAGTCCCCCTCTCCTCACCCTCCTCTTCTTCCTCCTCTTCCTCATATCATCTCTGTCATACTTGATAAGGCAAATTGCCCATGTTTGTCTGTCTGTTAGTCATGTCCTCCACTTCTTTTTTAGGGGACATACTCGCCTCGCCAATCCGCAGCTTGTCCCCAGCGAGGAAAACTAAAGATTGTGTCAATGATGATGTCTGTTAGCGCTCACTGGCCAAGCGGTGGTGATGCTTGTTAAGATCGACACGTACACTCATAAGATTGCGATGTAATCAATAAATAAGCAGTGGTGCGTGTAGTGATTGACGTGATGGAACGAACCAATGGTAGAGCTGCGTGGAATGATGTAAACTGACCAATGGCTGAGTGAATACTGTGACAGAGCCAATCTGGACTGACCAATGATTGGTAACAACTGGAGGTGACCTGTGGCTGAGTTAATGTGAACTGAATAGGAAGTTCACTGTTTGCGTTTGAAACAGCCTCCACTTCATTACTTGCTTCATAATCTGTAGCTTGTCTCTATGCAGTCTAATGTCAATAGCTGACGCCCGTGGAGCTGTATAGGGTCGCCTGTTAGGAGGACAATTAAGACCCCCGCCCCCGCTCCCTCCATTCCCAGCCCTCCACCGCCATCCCCCTGGTGGTGTCACCAAGGAGACATTGCCAAGGGCACTCTAGTTAGTCCGTCAGGTACGTCCGCTCACCCCCCACCACTTTTGTATCATTAATCATCTGGGAGGCTGTGATGTCGGAATGAAAGCTTCTTTTTTTGCATATTCGACATGACTCAAATTAGCCCAGAATCAAAGGAGTAATGACTCCACTGGAATCAAAGAGAGCGTTGAGCAAATGTTCCGAAGGGGTTATGCTCCCAAATCCTGATTAACATCAATTTCTTTTAAGGTGTGCATTATCACAAGTTGTGAAATTTGACCAATTTAATCTGTCTCTCGGTGTGAAAAATACTCCTCGATGCTGTGTCAGGCTGACATGTAGAATGACCAATAACAGAATGAAACCCAATCAGTGATGCTGACTCGAATGATTGACATGCAGACCGTCCAATAACTGTATGAACAATTAGTACTGTATTCTGCAGCTTCTTCAACTTTGTGCAATAGGACAAGATTTAGGGCTCTATTTTCATAGACAGGCGCATGTCAGGTAGCTCGTCGTTCCTTATAAACATACTTGGCTTCAATCTTCTGCATTGACTCCAGTAAGTCAATTCCTGCTTCCGCAATGTGTCCGCCTTAACTATGCTGAATCTAAAGGGGATGAGGGGAGCTGCTTTCATTGACTAGGAAACCAGTCGGCTGTGCTCACTCCCACAACAGCTGAAACACCCCTTTCTAACTGCATCTGTTAACAAAAGCACCACAAGAAAGAAAATTCCACCAATGCACATAGACTGCACTTTGTGCTCGACTTGCGGTGGGCACGACAATAGGGCCATTAGTGTCAAGAATGTCCTTGAGCCAATCAAGCCATGTAGCTTGACCAGTAACTGAGTGACGGAACCAGCCAATCAGCATTGCTGTTCGCAATAATTGCCATGTAAACTGACCTGTGACTAAATAAAGATTGCGACAAAACCAGACAAAAACAAGTCACTGGAACT